CGAAAGAAAAAATAATAATTATTATGAATATGTTTGATTTATTGATTAACCCAGGCAATATATATAATAGTTTTGGTTTATTAAAGGGGATACTGTATTATTAAAGGGGATACTGTATTATTAAGTAATATGGTGGAAAATAGATAACTTTTAGGAAATAGAACAAGACTATATTAAAATAAATAAAATATGTATTTTGAATATTAGATTCTGTTATGAATTGACATAAGGGAAACTTTGATTACCTAAAGCCTGAAAATTATAAATATCAAATGTTAAATTGAAATATTGATGGGAAACTAAAAATTGGGGGGAAATCAATAACAGGGCATTGATTGTTTATAAAGATTGAATGTAAAAGTAATTAAGATGTGTATCAGCTAAAAATGTATTGATAAATGTAATAATGATGTTTTTACTTAATTGATATAATAAGAACTGTATTAGCTTAAATATGAGATAGTAGATATTAAGGGAAAAAGAGAGGAAATATTTGATGTTGTATCCTGAGATTTGTACTAAATATTTTTATATGTTATTGAACTATTGATTAACCCAGCCACCATGTTGCTTTTTAACTACTTAAATGTAAAATTGGAAAATTAATAAAATCTTATTTAAAAAAAAAGAAGCTAGGACAGGCATGGATATAAAAACCAGGTGATCTACTCATGGTCCTGAAGACTCTGTCTACTTCCTCATGTCTTACAGGTTGTTTATTTATTAAATGTAGATGCTACCCATCTCATCTAGAGACGATTCTAGGCAGCTTATAATAAAATAAAAGAAACAAGACAAAATATTAAAATATTTTTAAATATTAAAATATTTTAATTTTAAAATATTAAAATTGAGTTAACAAAGATGGCAAGAAAGGGAGCTAGATGGATACACAGGGTAGAAAAGAGTATTATCTCTGTCCTAACCACTTCCGGTATAACACGCCCCCATCGGGGCCTGAGGCCAATTTACAGAGCCAGGTTTTCAAGTCCTTTTGGAAGGCCAAAAGAGTGGGAGCGGATCTCACCTCAAGGAGCATAATGTTCCAGTGGGCAGGAGACACAGCAGAGAAGATTCTTCTTCTGGACCCTGCTAGCCAGAATTCCCCTTCTACTGGCACGGGTGAGGGGACCCAATCCCAATTTTATGTAATAAATTGGAACAATTCGTTCTTTGACTTAATTTCTAGAGATACTGGCAATGTATAGATATATAGACATAGATACTGATACATTCAATCTGAATTCCTTGTAATTAATTCAGTGAGCACTAGTACTTTTTCTGTTTCCAGAGGATCAAGAAATTGTGTAGCTTCTGTTATGCTTACTAATGGTCAGATAAGGAGAAGGAATCATTGTCCAATGCCCTTGTAGATGCTTCAGGATTGAAGAGTGTATTCAAAAATATTCTGCCAACATTCATATTGGAACAGCACTTAATGCTAATTACCAAAAAATGATTCAGCACTTCCCAACATAATGCAGATTATGGTGCTGAGTCCCTGGCTGGAAATAACATATTGAAATCTTATTCTTGGTTATGATCCTCCAAGATCTCAGAAGTTCAGACCCTTATTGAAGATTTTCTTTTTGCAAATTGATTTTTTTTTTTAGTAGTCAAGTATATACGTTAAATCATACTACAGTTCAGAAAAAAGTTGGTGCTTTATATCCATTTTTAGCTTTAAAATCTGAACTTAACACTTTATATCACCATTCCAAAATATTGAATGATTTCATTCCCATTCAGTTTTGCAGCACTAAAGGATGCCATATTTGGTTGTTTGAAAGAACATCTGCTTCTTTCCTCAGTTCCTGACTACATAGACCTGTACTCCCAAGATATGCATTGTATAGCAGTGGTATTTGTTCATCTCAGCATTAAGATACACTTTTACACAGATGATTGGCTTCAGATTGACTCAACTTTTACAAACAATATTTTCATATACCTACATTTCTTTTTCTGCCCTTGGTTTCTCTGTAAATTGGAACAAGTTCAATTTCTGTTCCACGTAATGTATCCTTTTATAAAAGTGATATTGAATTCATTATCTTGCCAGACATTCTCACCCAAGGACTGAATAAAGATAATTGTAGCCATACCTCTTGCATACTGCTGCTAATTCATAAATTGAACAAAATGTCTTCTGAATCTCATGGCCTTGAACGCTACCTGTCAGGCTCCCACAGTAAATCGGACATTAGAATTAGATGAGCAAATTGTACTTTATTATATGGTTTCAACAATAGAATCTTAAAAGTCTGATAATACATATCTCCTACCATCTTTTTTTCAGCCTGAGTAGTTTGATGATGATGATGATGATAATAATAATAATAATAATAATAATAACAACAACAACAACAACAACAACAACAACAATAATAATAATAATAATAATAATAATAATAATAATAATAATAATAATAATAATAATGTTGGAAGGGACCTTGGAGGTCATCTAGTCCAACCCGCTGCTCAGGCAGAAAACCCTATACCATTTCGGACAAATGGCTGTCCAGTCTCTTCTTAAAAACCTCCGGTGTTGGGGCATTCACCGCTCCTGGAGGCAGGTTTTTCCACTGGTTGATTGTTCTAATTGTCAGAAAGTTTTTCCTTAGTTCTAGGTTGCTTCTCTCCTTGATTAGTTTCCATCCATAGTTCCCTTATGAGTTTCTTTCTTTGCCGTTACACAGCTATGGGCTATACCAAGGGTCTCAAACCCTCAGACCATGGTCCATTACTGGGCCTTGAGCTGTTCGGAAGCAGACCACAGGAGTGGCAGGAGTGTGAGCATATCCCTACATGGGCAAGCAGTGGGCAAGCGCAGGAATGACCACTCATGCAAATGGAGTTCCACACACTTGCCTGCTGTTCACACAGAACCATCCTTCCTCCCTCCCCTGGGCTGGTCTGCAAGGAAAGATTGGGGAACTCTGGGCTATACCATGATTAATCCTTAGACAGCATCTCTTTTCCCATCTCCCAAGGTAATTACTATATATCATTACGCTAACGTGATTGCTTTCACATTATCTTTATATATGATTTCAAGTACTGATTTGTCAGGATCTTCATTATCTCTCAAATCTGACTACAGTAGAGTAGAATAGAACAGAATGTAGAGTTGAAAACTAGAAAAAGTGTTTTCTCCCTTTAGGGTTCAAAATTTGAAATAATATAGGGAATTCTTTTAGTATAAAATATGACAGTTTACAAAGATTAATGGTTAAACAGAAGCATATACTATTCCCCACAGCAAGGAGAAATTGACTCTTATCCACAGAAGAGAATATATTTAATTTTGTTTCTATTTGGAAATTGCTTCCGGATTTTGTGCTTGCAATGGAAAAAAAATGAAAGTTTGATTTTGTTTTTGCTGATTAGATAGGCTTGTTGCTATAGAAATGGCTGGTATATATTGTGTAAAAGTAAAAGGTTGAAGTTGTAATGTTATCTTCTACTCTGCTAAAGAGAGTTGGAAGTTGGTGCCTTTTTCTTTCCCTTTCCCTCTTTACACCATATTTTTTCTTTTTTCCTCCCCATTTTTAAATTTCTTTTTGTATTTATACTTTGATAAACTAATAAAAATGTATTATTAAAAAAAGAATGTAGAGTTGACTAGACTAGAACAGAACAGAATAGAATAACAAAGTTGAAATGGACCTTGGAGGTCTTCTAGTTTCCTGCTCAAGCAGGAAACACTGTACTAATAATAATAATAATAATAATAATAATAATAATAATAATAATAATAATAATAATAATAATAATAAAGTTGGAAGGAACCTTGGAGGTCATTGAGTCCAACCCCCTGCTCAGGCAGGAACCCTACACCATTTCAGGCAAATAGTTGTACAATCTCTTCTTAAAAACTTCCAGTGTTGGAGCATTCACAACTTCTGGAGGCAGGTTGTTCCACTGAATAATTGTTCTAACTGTCAGGACATTTCTTCTTACTTCTAGGTTGCTTCTCTCCTTGATTAGTTTCCATCTATTGCTTCTTATCCTGCCCTCAGGTTTCTTTGGAGAATAGCTGGACACCCTCTTCTTTGTGGCAACCCCTGAGATATTGGAACACTGCTATCATGTCACCCCATGTCCTTCTTTTCATTAAACTAGACATATCCAATTCCAGCAACTGTTCTTTATACGTTTTAGCCTCCAGTCTCCTAAAGAATGTTGAGTCGAGTAGAATAGAACAGAATAGAATTGAGCAGAGACTAGAACAGAATGTAGAATAGAACAGAATAGGCTAGACTAGACTAGACCAGAATAGAATGTAAAGTAGAGTAGAGTAGAGTAGAGTAGAGTAGAATAGAATAGAATAGAATAGAATAGAATAGAATAGAATAGAATAGAATAGAATAGAATAGCTTTATTGATCAAATGTGATTAGACACTAAAGGAATTTGTCTCTGGTGTAAAAGCTCTCAGTGTACATGCAAAGCAACATAATAATAGTCATAATCATAATGATATCAATAAGGGGGTAGTAAAAAAATTAAGAAGGATAACACTACTACTGTCATACAACATGGGTAAATATACTTAGACATTAAACAGCACTGTGAGAATGAGATGTTCAGCAGAGTGATGGCACAAGGGCGGAAAAAACTGTCCCTGTGTCTAGTTGTATTGGCATGCAAGCCCTATAGTGTTGTCACAAGGGGAGGAGTTGAAACAGTTTATGTCCATGATGTGAGGGGTTTGTAGATATTTTATCAGCCGTAGTTCTGACCCACACAATATACAGGTCTTCTGTGGAAAGCAGACTGGTTGCACTGATTTTTTTCTGCAGTCCTAACTATTTGTTGGAGTCTTTAATGGGTCAAATGCTGTTACAAAAAATAAATAAGATAGTTGGTTAAGAGATACTGTTAGTCCTCTCTCAGTTTTCAGTATCTTTTCATAACACAATAATGATGATAGTGAGTTACAAAGAGACTTTTCACTAAGTAACTTTGAACTCTTTTTCCCATATTTTCTCCTTCCAGGAGCCTTGCCTGTACTGTTGTGGAAATGTTAACAGAGAAACCACCCTGGGCAGAATATGAAGCTATGGCAGCCATTTTCAAGATTGCTACACAGCCTACTAACCCCCAGCTTCCTTCTCATATATCAGAACCTTGCCGGGACTTCTTAAGGCAGATTTTTGTGGAAGCCAGAAAGAGACCTTCAGCTGAAGAGTTGCTCCAGCATCATTTTGCTCAGCTCCCCTACTGAATTACCATCTCTGAAATAGCATTCCATTTTTAGATGATACTGTTGTCTGAAGTGATGTGGCCTGTATCAGAGAATCCATTCCAAAATGTTAGCAGATAGACATTCTGTTTGCCTAGTAAGGTAGTGTATAAGGGCAATGCAGAAGTCAGCCACTTTCATTTTGGTATCTTCATTTGGGATTGATGTTTTCTCTGTAATTACCCATGTGCTGACATGATATTTGGCATGTGGCTAGGAACAGTCTAAAATGCTTCATTTGAATATAGATCTATCTCTGAAACTTGTGAAAATGAAAAAGAAGACAATGGATTCTGAGAACTGCTAAAATCTATAAAAATGTGTACTGGGCTCATACTATCACTCTGTCTTACAGCTTTTCAGGTTGCAGGGTGTTGTTTCTCCTCATTAGCTCTCTCATATCCATGGTTCTGGATAATGAGAATGGGGGAGGGGATTCCCATGGATCAAAAATACAATGGAATCTAGACAATAAAGTTCCCTGAATGAAATAAGGAAATCAAGTTCCATTTAGGCAGAGTTGTCTAAAGGTGCAATGCAGAACTATGTGTTCTGTGTCTATGCTGTAATCACGGGCTAACACAATTTTTGTCTAGCAAAAAAATCAGTATTGTGGGGCTTGACACTTTTAACTTCTATTTTTTTAGTCTTTATGGCATCAGAGAAATTAGGAATTCACATGGGAGATGTTAAGAATTTTTAGAAATTAGATGAAGCTGAGCAAGGCACAGTACCCCTTCTGTGAATATTAAAAATCAATAGATAAAATGAGGAATGTATATAAAATTTTACATTATTTGCAGAATTTATCCATATTGTAAAATGTGCCATTTTATGGATTATGTTGCACAGGATATCATGCAATAGATTGTGGTGAGGACTATTGTGAGAAAGCATATCAATGTGCTGCGTTTAGATGGATGTTGATAGGCTAAAAGTTTCCCTTAATGGGTAGAGGTATATACAGTTAAGCTATTATGCTACAGTTATAATAGATATGAAAATATCTCAGTTACTGTGAGACATTCAGTTTCATATACTTCCATTAGATAGCTTCGTCTATCCCTATTCCCTTTCACAGAATAACCTTTTTTTCCCTCCAAACTTCTGACCAAAGATTATTTCATTGCTGCCAAGATCAGTCTTCAAGGAGAGGCAAAGTATTACTGCTGAGCCCACGCAGGATTGTTCATACTGAACAGAGCTTCCTTTTCCAGGGGCTTGTAATGAAAAAATTGGGGCAAGGAGAAGTGAAATTGCTCATCTGTCTTTATTCATTCTGGGTTTTTCCTTATGCTTTTCTGATCTTTAGAAGAATAGTTTCTAAAGTTTGAGACCATGTTTTCCCACAGTTCTGCAGTTTGTTAAATTCTGGATTGTTTTCTAAGAAACCTTTTTTGAAGAGGCACTTCTGTCAGATTTGAGTACAATTAAAGAATTAAGTTCTTTATCTCTCAAATGCTTGGTTGCCAACAGCATACCTTTATTATATAAAATGTTGGATTAGAACCAGCTACACTCAGACAGGATCTCTACGAGATCTATGAGTATCTCTGTTATTCATTATGTAACAAATCATGTACACCGCAGTAGCATTAGAACAGATGAACAATGTGACCAACGTGTTGCTTTGCAAACAGCATTCTGCCGCTTGTGACACTTCAGGTGTTTGCTGTTAACCTTGCAAAGAAATATTAATCTACCTTTGCTCTAGCCAACTTGTCAAATGTTTGCTTTTCTGCAAAACTGAGATTCACTCTTATCTGTCACTTTACACAAAGCTGCATGTGGTAACAGTATTGCAATCTACCAGCCTCACATGTTAGTGAAAGCAGGGTGGGGGAGCAATGCTTTCAGTTAATTAGCAGTTCTTCTTTTAAAGCAAAATGCAATTAATATGCAGATAAAAGCAGTTTTTTTCTGCGGTCTCAAGCCTTGTAGTGGTGGCAAAGTCCAGACCAACTATCTTGATGTGCTCAAGTTTTTTGTCATATTTTTTTAAGAATATCTATGGCTTTATAACAAATAAAAGCCAAAATGTCTGTACAGATCTAAAAATGCCACAATGATTTCCTTTTTCACTTCATTTGCCAACATGTCTGTAGGTCTTGGTTTGTTGCCTTAACAACATGTATATTCTTTTTCAAGACAACAATGTTGAGTTATGGTTTTTCCTTTGATCTTAGCAAATAACCAGCAGCAGAGTTGATCCCTCATCTATTTTTGAGAATATGATATGTTGCCTTGGCTCCTCACTGGGTGGATAAGCATAAGAAATAAGCCAAAGCATTATTCATATGATCAGCAGTGCACTTTTATAAATATATTTATATCACTTTCTTATTAAGCATTTTACTTCATGTAAAGAAATTATGATGTCTCATACTTTTTATTTATGCCATACTTGTTTATGTTTATATGTGTGTACAGCAATTATTATGAAATGGGGAGAGAGAAATTGACATTGTTGTGAATTTTAAAAAAGGGGAAAGAAGCAGCTGGTTTTGCAAAGGTTTTGATTATTGTTTATTACAAGATATGTCAGGTCAAAATACCTTTTTGTTTCCTTGCTAATCTTTTGCTGAGAAAAAAGTAAGTGAAATAGAATAGCAATATAGAAATGGCAATTTAGAATGATAGAAAGCCACATTGAGCTTATTGCCATTTCTTCACAAAACAACAGTGATCTGCACGGTTTTAGTGTAACCTCATTTTAAGATACTGTAGATTTCACATATTGGTCTCACAATTTTTGTATGTCTGCATTTCTGGGGCATTTAAACTTCTTTTTTTAAAAAAACAAACAAGAAATGGCTTATTGTATGCTTTATTTACTTGTTGTAGAATATATATATATAAATTGAGTGAATAGCATACAGATAATCTAAGAAGGCCATGATGTGGGAAACAGTCTTTGCAATATCTGAATTACTAACATTGATATACTGCTACTCAGTGCAATAAATTTGTCCCTGAAATTACATCTAGATAATATTCACTGGAGTTCTACAACATCAAATAATTCAGGAGTGCTTCCTTCCAGAAAAATGCATAAAGAATTATAGCCTTAAAAATGCCCCCTTTTGTAATTTATCTTTTATGCCAACTATTTCCAGACTTTCAATATTTTTGCCTTATAAAAACCCCTTAGGAATTTCTCTTGTTTATGGCCGCCTGAGGAATTCATCATGCAGATTTGCTTTTGGTCAGTTTCTGATTCTCATCAGTGCAAATAAGAGAGTGAGAAAAAAAGGATATTTTGCAAATTCTCTCACAGAACTGTCTAACTATAAGCAAGGAAACAAATACGTGTTTAGGCTTGGTACGACGATTCTGTATACTCCAGCTTCACCTGCCACTGTTCTGCTAAACAGCATACATTTAAAATACCTTTTGTATAGGAGCTATTGCCATCAGACAACATGTATCTCATTATCTTCCCTGAATTACCTTCTATATGTGGGCTAATTTAATATATGATTTGGAAATTTGAGAGATTGCAAAAAAAAAAGGATTGGTGATATATTTCTGTAAGATTTCACAGCTAATCTGAGATACTCTTCACATCAGATCTTTGAATTTATACCTTTGAATATGATAGTATGTCTGACTTTAACTAAATTTACCCAAGAAATTACTGAGATTGGGTAATTAAGTTTGCAGCCTTCTTCTGTATATTTTACACTGCCGATGCTAGAACAGATATTTTAATTTAATGAAACTCAAAGAGAGCTTTGTAGAACATTCTGTGATTTATCATTTGGACCTGGAGTATACAGAAGACCTTGAAGTACTTCTCTGTTTCTAATTTTTATGAATTTCTATAATGACTGAGGCTTGCAGTGCAAAGCCAGGCCAATGTGTAACTTTTATTTACAATAAAATATAATTTTCAGCTAGTTATGTGTGCTACTAGCTATTGTATTATTGGAGGCTGCTTGAATATCCAAGTGGAAGCTTCAATAGCTCCATTTTGCAAAAATACACTATGAATTCTCAATGTAGCCATCCTTTCCCTTTTTGGGATAGTGAAAATTGTCTCACACTTTTTTAACTTAAGTAAGTTTATTTCATCAGATGTTCTCTTTGAAATCCACAACCAGGGAAGTGAAGCATTCCTATGTGGCTTTGAATTGTAGGATTTGTTTAAATCTGAGAAAGGTATACTCAGCATTTAAAACATGCTTATCATCTCTCACAGCCTGCTAAACACATTTTTTTGTATATTCTGGAATGTAGGCACCAAACACTGTATCTTTTATTAAGGAAGACATGTTCTAAAGCTGCTGAACATGCCATTTGGCATGTTCTGTATGAATTGTGTGTGAACCACAGCTTTTCTTCTAGGCAGTGATATTAAACTGCTGTTTTTTTTTAATGCATACAATGATGACTGGACTGTTCTCCCACGCAGAACATGTTTCTTGTTCAGCAAGAAATCTTTTGGAAACTGAAGTAGAAGTTGCACATTTCATCTCTCAAAACTTTCATAAACAACATCAAAGAGGAAAAGCTCAGAAAACCTATATTACAAAAATAAGACAGTGCAGCTCTGAACACAAACACCACAAGTGTGCTTCAGCTTATCACGTACCACTGAAAAGGCAGATATAAAAGATAGACACTGAATTCTTCCCCAGAGTTTAAGGCTGAATGGATAGAACAGAGCTGATGAGAACTAGGATGCAAGGTCTGCAGTCCCCTTTTAGACCCATGTTCATTATGATTTTGGACTAATATGCATGATTCTGTAACTTTTACACCAATTCTACCCCCACAACTCTTAATGTCCAACTCTTATATGCCTGCTTGAAATTCCAAAAGTTATATTTTCTATTTCATTGTTTAGGATTTCTAAAGCTTGAATACATGCATCTTTACTTTACCCTAGACATGTGTATGGTGTCTGCAGCAGAAGCACACAGCCTCCCCATAAGAAAGGAGATAACAGGCTACATTTAGGATTCTAAGTAAATTCACAGTCAGAATTCAATGTGTTGCTGCCTATTTGCACAATTTGTTTAAGCAGATAGCCAGATATTGGGAATAGATAATGCTCTGTCTCCTTTAAACTATGTAAAAACAATATCTAAGAATTGGCTAAAGACTGTTGGAAAAGTTTCTTCAACTGGAATTACAAGAAAGCAACATCCAAGTCAACCTGTTAGGATGCTGATTGACTTGCTAAAAGGGAGACTGTTTATATTTTAACATGCTATATGGAAAAATGTGTAATCATACACTTTTGACCAAGGAGATGTACAGATGTGAAATACCACATTTACAGCTTGTCTAGTCAACCTGTTTAGCTACAATCCTGATTGCAATTCCATTACTAGTATGACCTGGCTCTCTTTATAGCATTGGTATTCCTGCTTTTGCATGAGTAAAGCAAAATTTCCCATTTTCAACATGTCTGTGTAGTTTTTCGGATACTTAATTCTTTCCACAGCCCATTAAAACTATAGTTCGTTCCTGCTTAGTCTTTCCTGCTCCTAGCCATCTTGCAATTACCACTGCTCTCCATCAGCTCAGTTCATCCCCATATCAAAGGTCTCAAAGTGGGGAACTATAGGCTATGGGTCATGCTGTATCTGAACCATTCTCCACCTCTTTCTGCAGCCAGAGTTGCTTGTGCTGCTTGCGCCCAAAACCTTCGTCATAGTTGCCTTTGCTCTTGAACAGCTGCTGGTAATGTGGTTTGCAGTAGAATTCCCCATGGAGAGCTGCATAACTACCCAAGCTGAATAAAAATAAGAACATGTTAGGGCTTGCTAGAAAAGGGCTGAAAAATGGAAGAAAACTAGTATAATGGTAGTTATACTATGAAAATGAAGCTATGAGTTTACTACTGTGCCCTTCCTAAAAATTTGCAACACAGCATAGGAGCATGAGACCTACCTCACAGAGGAAGCATAATTATTATACTGTACCCAGGCAAAACAGTTGTGAAGTCATTTAAATGTTTAAATGCCATAAGTGCTTATGTTTCTCCAGAATGCAGAAAGAAGCTAATTTAGTCCTGTTTTTCACTATTCCTACTACGCTTAGTAAAGATTTGTTTGATGCAAGCTCAACATCCAAATGGTTTTCTTGGCAACAGTACAGAACTACTTTGCCATTACTTTTTTCTGAGAAAATTTTCAACTTTATCCATTCAGGTACAAAGCATACCCAATTCTGTTTAACTTTTTCAAGATCAGCTGAGATCATCTGCAAGTCAATATTAAGCTCTTTTTTTATAGTGAAATCTATTTCTTTAATTTATTTTAACAACCTCAGCAGATTGAGAAAAGATTAATGCCTTTCTCCCTGTGCTTTAAATATTAAAAAGTGTCTAAAGCTGAAACATTGGGACTTTAAGGAACTTTGATCTGTTTGCCCTTCAAGGAAAAAAAAACACTGCTCTGATTCAAGCGAACATATTTTGCACAGTCTGGGTAGCATTCAGTACATGGTACAGACACTGAAAAAAAATGAGATGTCATATCAAAACAGAATCTATTTTCAGTGTTTTATTAGGCTGTTAAATGGGGTGGATGGAATTATAATTAATGATGGCTATTGGGAATGATACGAGAGTCAACAACCAGGAAATTGACCACTACCCATATATTCCCTTTACACTGCTTCCTCCTCAAAGCAAAAGAGGGAAACTCTCACTTTTCCCTTACCTTAGCTTGGTATGGCAATGCTTACAGCAAAAGCAGGAATTATGGAAGACAAATTTATCAGCCACCAGGCGCTCCATAGGATAGACTGTTTTCTGGCAGGCACTGCATGTCTCTTTCACCTGGGCCTTCAGGCTAAATGACTGGATGACAGAGTAAAAGGTGATGTGGGTGAAAGTTCCAGAAGGGGAGATAGCAAGGAAGTGAACAATGTACAATTACCAGTGATTTAATTGTGAAGATACAATTTCAAAACTTTTTGGATATAGCATACTTGACTCATATGCCAAACTTCCTAACTTTAGTTATATTTAGCTAATAGTAAATAAAAGCAGTCTTAAGAGGCACCCTGGTTTAATATTAAGAACTTTAATAGCTGAAATAAGCAGTAGTTTATGGAGAATGTTTCAAATCTAAAAGTGCAGGACACTGGAATTCAGAGTGAAATAGTTAACAATAGCACTTAGCAATAGCATTTATACTTATATATCACTCCACAGTGCTTTACAGCACTCTCTGAGCCTTTACAGAGTCAGAATATTGCCCCAACAATCTGGACTCTCATTTTACCAACCTCGGAAGAATGGAAGGCTGAGTCAACCTCGAGCCCTGTCAGAATCGAACTCCTGGCAATCGGCAGAGTCAGCCTGAAATACTGCATTCCAACCACTATGCCACAAATATTTACTTAGTAGAAACGAAAATGCTGTTGAAAATCATTGTAAAGGACTTACATGGGAATTTATGTTCTAAATTCAACTGGCATTTAGGGAAGATATTTTTGAAATATACCTAAAAAGAGAGCTATCGATTTGCCTTTCAATACTGAGGTTTAAAAGTAATCAAGAGAATGATTACAAACTCTGCATAAAATGTAGTTTCTGTCTGAAGGTGAATTATTTTATTGCTATTTTCATATGTTCTATAAATATGTTGCACAGGGATACAAGAATGTTCTCTGAAGAGATGATAGGCATTGCCTTTGACAGTTCTGGTCAGTTTTGATAGGTACATCAATTCTCAGCCTTTTAGGATCAGGATGGCCTGATAACAGTGTTCACACACTTATCATTTCACAGTGAGACCACTGCAGTGTGTCTTACATAGTGCTTCTGTCCTTAAAGAACAGCAGTTAGAATCAGAAACTGCAGTTAGCAGCAACCTTCTCACTTGTATTTTGACTCAAACAAAACTGTGTTTATTTCAATAATATCTGTGCTTATTGAAATATTTTACTTTATTATTAAAGAAAAGCTAGCAAGAACAATTTCATTAATACACTGAATGTCTAAGGGTCAAATGCAATATTTCTCAATCTTGACACTTTAAGATGTGTGGATTTCATACAGTATTTCAGTATTCCCCAGCCAGCATGAAATCTCCTTCCAGAATGCTGACTCGGGAATTGTGGCAGTTGGAAGTTCACACATCTTAAAATTGCTAAGATGGAGAAACAATATTCTAATAGAACTTACTTGGCTTCCAAGTAGGCCTTAGCTGTGGTCACAGAATATTGTAGAGCAGTGGTGGCAGACCTATGGCATGGGTGCCAGAGGCAGCACGCGGAGCCCTCTCTGTGGGCACACATGCCGTTGCCCCAGACTCGCCTCCCCTCGCGGCCCCCTCCTCTCCAGCAGCCCCCCTGAAGGAGAGTCACTCCTGAGTGTGGCTTACATGGAGCAGCGCAACCAAGGACATGACAGCCAGGCAGCATAGACAAGACTCTGCCCTCACACTCCATCGTGCACAATTGATGCTGCAGGGCACGGGCAGAGGATGGGGGGCGGAGCGGGGGCAGGGCAGGGGTTGGAGCGGGGTGGGGCCAGTTTTTGGGCACTCGGTTTCTAAAAGGTTCGCCATCACTGTTGTATAGGGCAGTAGCTTCTGACAGGGTGCATCTGAGCAACGTCTTCTGTTTACAGATCCAGAATATTTTCTTGATGTACTGAATATCTCTGGGAGCTTAAGTAATGGAGGAGATCCCTGCAGTAAGTCTACCTTAACAGCAATAAAAGCATCTGTTTGAATCTATGCCATCTATTGTGCCCTAGAACCCTGACCTGTGACCCTATTTAGAGAAACATTTTAGGGAAGGACAGGTCAGAAAAGCACTTACTAGTTCACTTTGAAGAATTTTTCTAGAGGAGAAAATTGTTTAGATTCTCTCACAGTTAGATGCTATCTGAGCAGATCCTATAGAAGTAACCAAGTCTACATCTTGCGGAGTACAGGGAGTCCTCGACTTATGACCACAATTGAGCCTAAAATTTTTGTTATTAAGTGAAATATTTGCCCCATTTTACAATCTTTCTTGCCACAGTTGTTAAGTGAATCACTGCAGTTAAGTTAGTGACACAGTTGTTAGGTGAATCTGGCTTCCCCATTGACTTTGCTTGCCAGAAGGTTACAGAAGGTGATCACATGATCTCAGGATGCTGTGACCGTCATATTTATGAGTTTATGAGTCAATTGCCAAGTATCTGAATTTTGATCACTTGATCATGAGGATACTGCAACAGTCATAAGTGTGAAAAACAGTCATACGTCACTTTATCAGGGCTGTTGTAACTATGAATAGTCACTAAATGAACTGTTGTAAATCAAGGACTGGGATGAATCTCAGTAACCTGGGATGCATCTCCTAGTCCTGAATAAATGGGGTGTCTTTACAATATCAACTCCACCACCTATAACCTGGATCTCTATCCTTCCTGGTTAGTAAAAACTACCATACAAATAATAGGAAGTTGATTAAAGGCAGATTAAAGGTGGGAATGCGTCCTTAAGTGAAGAGTTGGTATTGTTTGACTTATTAACTAGACAATTTCAACCTGGCAAGTCTTCAGCCTCCCTTTTGGATTAAGTCTACTGAGAAAACAACTGATTAATTTTATAGCTGAGAGATAAATAAGCCACCCATCTCTGCCATTCCTGTGATCAAAGATAGAAATGATCCAAGTAATTAGAACACCCAGCATTAGATTATTTATTTTATAGTCATAAATTTGTGAAGTAACAGAAGCCAGAAAGAAGAAAAGGAGTGATAAATACCTTGGATCTTTGCACAATAGATGTCCCCATGTTGCTCTTGGCTTCCTAAAAAAAAGACGGAGAAGGGAAATAAAAATTAATGTTCTTTTTGCATGACAAATCATATTTTAGATTTGAATACAAACTGCAGTTTACTTGTATTATAATTAATGGTGAAAATGAGCAGGCTAATACTTTTCTTGGACTCTTTATTTTGAATATTATTAATTAGCTAAGAACAATAATAATGCAAAAAAAAGATTCAGAAACTTAGAGACATCCTATTGCTTTATAATAGAATATGAAAAAAAGACTACTACATCCATAAGTATTTGGAAATATCTCAACAAAATACATGAAATGAAATAGATACAGTCCCTTGTGATATAATCTATAGTTTTCTGAAGCAACTTTTTTTGTAAGACAGTGGATGGCCACACAAAAAGAGTTGCATCAGAACACTATATGGCAGGGTGAGAACCCACTATAGTACCCAGCAAGCCAAACAGCTGGAGAGCAGGTACCTACGTGAACAATTCAAACAGAATGGGTACCCACAATCATTTGTCACAAGATGTCTGTGTAACACAATGGGGAGAGAAAGGAAGAAACAAGGTACAAGACCAACCACATGGCATACCCTGCCACACATCAAAAATATTTTGGAAGTTGTAGAACGCAGCTTCTGAGATCTGCAAGTGGACACCGCACACCACCCAGAGACCACCATACAAGGACAAATTATGCATTGTAAAGATCACTTGGAGGTGAGAGATACTTCCAATGTAATCTACTGGATCCCCTACATGGATTGCCCCTGTGACTGTGTAGGACAGGGGTGTCAAACTGCTGGCCTGCGGGCTGGATGCGTCATGCAGAAGCCGCACCCATCCCATTGCCGGCAATGGCAAAACAGTCCCGATATGTTGCGCGACATCATGTGACGTCACGAGTTTGACATGTCTGGTGTAGAACAAATGGCGAGGAAGCTAATTTCACCAGACTGCAAGAACACAAGTAAGTGGTCAGACAAGGAGACCCAAACTCATTGGTAGCTTCACACTGCAATGAACAAGGGCCCACATTCAATTTTGCAATTGAGATTGTTGGATAAGCAGGCACAAAAACACCCAGGGAAGAGACTGAAGCCTGGGAAACAGACCCTTCGTCAGTCAACAGGAATGCTGATTTACCACCAGCTTATCAAGTATTTAGAAAGCGAGGGCTGGGCAGCACAAGCAAATGACAGCTATTGACTTAAAAACCAGCCAACCACATACCCTAATCAATATCTGAAAAGCCACTTACAACAGGCACTATAAATACCACACACAGAACAGCACACACTCTGCTAGAGAGACGTTCCCTGGGGATGGGGGCTCCAGCACGTGTCTGAAAGTTCAAAAGACTAATTTATACCTATATTCCTCCCAATAAGAAAAGTATTTTCTTCAATATACTCTATCCATTAAGTTTTCTGCCATGATGAACATGTTGTTATTTAAGGTACCACAAGAAGTTTGTTATTTGCATAACTACTATGATTACCTAGATAAAAGTAACATAACTCTGCTTGGTTCACATATAATGCTAAGTCAAAAGTACATTAATTACATTGCAACTTAACGCTACATGCAATCCCAGCCATAGTAATCCTATCTGAAAAGCATGGTTTAAACAAATGATGATGGCGCAACATACAAACAATATTATTTCCTCATTTATTCCCTCTGAAGTAGCAATATAATTTAAAGATACTGATTTCTGTACATACATTAGAAGAAGCTGTACTGGATGGTCCCTTAGCTTGGAACATAGTGCTATATTCTCACCCACACAGATTTGTATCTTCACTTGTTTGGGCTGGCTAATTCTTCAATGTGGATATGGCTTTTACCTGAGGAGACAAGGGAAAAATTAAGTCTTCTATACTAGAATATTTCTCCTCTTTCTGAAATGTAAATTCCAGATGACTGAAACATCCCGCACAAATGCTAGTATACACATACACTATTTTATTGTATTTCATTTCTTTTTCAGATTAATTGGAGATCAAGAGATAAAAAACAATTCTGAATGCAATCTCATACATAGTAGAAATGTGTTAAAGTGGCATTATTTTTTTAATATAGTTGCAAACATATGAACATGAACTTATTTACACTAGTATGTAACTTATCTATTTTAATGCAGTCATTAATAAACATATTTTACAAAAACTATTCTTGAAATAGTATCTATAACTTAATAACATAACTTAGCAAAATAAATTAATGTACCTATGTTCTTTAAATCCCTAATATATAAGATATGTATGTATGTGATGGACTTGTATTGTGTATTAAGGAGATTCACATTCTCCCCTAAACTTTCCTTCTTTCTGTCCAGAAAAACAAAATTGTTGGATTTGCCTACCCAGTTTCAGTTTGTTTGCATCTTCACTGTCATTTGAATCTCTCCTATTCAGGTTCATTTACACTTGCTGGAACATTCTTGCCTCTCTGTTCTGCAAAGCATGTGTGCTGCTTAAGAAATGGTCCTGATTCATTTCCGTTCCCCTCTGTGGTTAGCTTATTTCCTGCTTTCTCCACTTAAGGATATGCTTTTAGTATCACTCAGGTACCCATAAGAGGGTTAAAATGTTCAGATTAGATACTAGAACTGTACAAGCAAAGGGCAAAACGTCCTCACCAATCTGACATGCCTGAATTCACACCAAGGCAGCCACTGCAAATTATTTGGCCACTGACACTAGCATTAAAACTATTTTCAAAACTGACAGTGCATCAGGAGTTATGTTTTCTAAAATAGAGCAAAATTTTGTTATAATCACTAAGGTCTGCTAGAGAGTGTATTGGAAGGTTGAAATGATTTGATGCTATTTTGTCCTTGTTTTGAGTCCTGATGTCAAATTTGTCTCCATTAATTCTTTTGTGCAAAGCTTGTCACAGTACAATGTAAAACAAAGTTTGTCTTACATAGAATCCAGAAAGGTGTTGCTGGCAGCTGAGTTATATTATCTTGGACAAAAAGTATATAAAGTATCTCTAATCTTGTATATATTTTTGTTGAGGCGTATGATGGTGCTCTTGGTGTAGATATGGGGGCAAAACAAGGACACGTTAGTATCAAAGCATTTCTGTCTTCCAGGATGTTCTATAAAGTAAATCTCAACATACTGTTTTGGAAAAACTAGACTTTATGTTCATCGTTGAATAAGAGATTGCTGAACTCAAATATATCCAAAGGTTTCATGCAATCTCAGAAGGTCTCAACACACACAATTAGTTTTTAACTCATTATAATTGTTGATTGACAAGGGATTTGTAATCTGTCTCTTGCATAACCAACTTGTCTTTCCCTTCTTCCTCTCTCCATCTCACCCAGTTTAACTCCTACATCAGTTCAATAACTTTATTCATTTATTTTATTTATTTATTTATTTATTTAATTTATATCCCGCCCTTCTCCTTACGGACTCAGGGCGGCTAACAACCAGATAAAACACTAATCCCCAAAAACTACAAATTTAAAAACATAAGTAAAAACAAATATTAGTAATTTGGTCAAGTTAATTTAAAAATTGCTTTAAACCCCATTAAAATTTTCCCCTAGGCCAGTCCTG